CAAACTAACAAGCACAATATATGCACTCAAAACTCACATTGTTACAGACTGTTGACAGAGGCAAAGATTTCACAGCAATGCGTAAAGTGATTATAATAGCAAATCTGGCTTCAGCAAATAACGTTACATCTTGCGCTCACGTGTGTCAATATTTGCTTATGACAACCCGTGAAATGTGGTACTCACGCAACTTGTTATAACACAGAGCAACTTTTTAATGAAATTGCCAAACTAATTGGACAATATTTAGACGTTAGAGATCTTAAAACGTCAGTTAACTCGCTAACGTTAGCTAGCTCGTTAGCATCTGCAGCGCACAGATTAGCTTCGTTAACAGCAGTTGTTAGGCATCGTGCTAGCTTGACATGTAAACAAACCAACAGTCGCGGTATTTGTACACTGTAATAACATGTGCTTTAAAGCAATGCTCACTGTAAAGACATATTAAAATTGTGCGACTGTTAACGTTAGTGCTGTATGCAGACTGGTAGCTGCCTTACACACTTTTCTTAGTACATTAGCAGGCTACCCAGTTAGCTTGCAAGGTCACGCAGGATTACAGTTTGACCGACTTCACTGTTAAAGTTAAGATATCTGACCTAGCTATACGTACACATGACAGAAGCTACTTCACGCTGTGTCTGCTGTTAATTTGTTGGATATGTGATTCAACAAATAGACGAACTACAACGCTGACAGACATAACTCTAAAGCTAGTTTAGCCAGGGCGGCTAGCTAGTCTCGCCGGTGGTACGCTGCTATTTTCGCTAACGTAAAGCGATTGCTTGCGTTAATGTAAGCAAAGCAATATCTACTTTAGTTCAATAATCCATTTTAGGGCTGCCAAACAAGAACAATGTCACTGTTTCACCAGGACCAACAGGCGGCGAGTCTTGTCTTGAAGCTGTGAGTTTAGCTAGGTACCGTTACAGGTAATTCAGTGGTCTTGCTTTAGCTTTAGCAGAGCAGTGTAAACGTACCGTAGCGTAACGCAGTCTAGCATTCAAAAACTAGCTTGTAGCTATTGGCATCGTCATGGCACAGCTGGTCGTCGTAGGCGACTAGTCAAGCTCTTACTATAAATCTTTAGCCAGTGTACGCGAAGTTGTTAAGCTAGCCTTGGTCGGTATCCGCCAGCAACGCTGGAAAACGTGATGCAATGTGCCGCTAGCTGCTACCAACATCTACGTTACACTACCTGTCCGAGGATGTTGACGCCTGAGCCGCGGATGTTGCGTTTTCCTTGACGAATCTCTCGGCTCCCTTTCTCCTCTGTCATAATCCGCTCCTTTTCAAAGTGCAACTCATGCGTAGAGCCCTGTGGGCGCCTCAACTGACAGTCAAGTATGAGATGCTTCCTCTGACTTCAGGTTTCCACAACGCGAAGCGCCATTTCCCACGATTGGAAAGTGCTTCTTGGACTTCTTCTTCGTCGGCGTTGGTTTCGGCAGGATAGACACAGTGATGGCGCACTGCGCCCCCCTGCGGGTTGGGCGGAATTACTGTATATAAAATTACTTGGGGGCTAAAAACCTATCACTCTGTCACCATACCTAGACATCAGTGTAAGAGATGAGGGTGGACCTGTCCATTGTTCCTTCTCTTTTCTTAATTTTATCTTAAACAATGTCTTATTGGGCTTAAGGACACACAACATCAGGGGCGTAAATATAGACAGTGCAGCAGAGTGTTTAAACTGGAGCCCATGTGGTGGGGGGGCCCATAGAGACAATGGGCCCTGTGTTGGTTGCAACATGGGACATTATGAGCAATTGCCACCTTGGAAAAATGCCTGTGTTCAAAGGCCATCTCTCATTAAATTAAGAAGAGTGCTATTTGCTATATATGCCCTCGAAGAAGGCAAACTCAACTCAGTTTTTAAAATAAAATAAAATAAAATAGTCAGTAGCATTTATAACAAATGTATATGATTAGTCAACTCAAACTATAATTAACTATACAAAATTAAATTAATGTCTTAAGGTATTTTTTGTCATATATAGATCCAGTGTCAAGTCTGTTTGATCTTTAGTGTGCACTGGGGCCAATTGTAACTACTTTACACCACTGCACATCAATGGTTTACGACCCAGATCATTAACAGAGTACACCAAAACAAAATCATAGAAAAGGCAATAAAGTCAACATTGGTAACATATTGTGGGAGAACAATGCTTGTATTGTTAGTGCACATAAATGCAAACCTTCAATGTGTCCATCAACCCTACGAATGAAAAACAAAACTAAAACTAAACTCCTCCTTTTTTGTAGCTTCCTGGAATTAAAAAGTGTGATTTAAGAAGACGTTTGTATTTGCAGCTCTCCCTTGTGTAGGGACATGAGGTCAGATTACAGTAACCTACAGTAATCTGTTCAGCTATTCACTGCATGTTATTCTGCACCAAAAAAATCATCAAGTCCTGAAGTCACAGTCTAGAGTCAAGGGCAAATTTACTGTCATGCACAATCACATGGTGATACAGTGGTAAGCACTGTTGCCTCACAGCAAGAGGGTTCCTGGTTTGAACCCTGGGAGGAGAAGCACTTCTGTGTGGAGTTTGCATGTTTTTCTCCATGTCAGCGTGGGTTTTCTCCAGGTACTCCGGCTTCCTCCCACAGTCCAAAGACATGCAGGTTAAATGGTGACTTTAAATTGCCCGTAGGTGTGAATGTTTGTCTCTCTAGTTGTTAAGCCTGCAATAGTCTGGCGACCTGTCCAGGGTGTACTCTGTCTCTCACCCAATGTCAGCTGGGATAGGCTCCAGAACCCCTAACAGGATAAGTGGTTATGGAAAATGAATGAACAATCACACAATACTGCATCATGCTACAATTTTAGGAAAAAAAATTGTTATCAACATGTTTTAAAAGTGAAGACGAGAATTAACTAGGGAGCATGCCTATGAATAAAAAAATATAGCTTACGTAAGAACATCAAGACTGCAACAATGGAGCTGCCAAACAGCTGTCAAGGTAAGTGATGACTTAACCCGACATACCGTATGTCAACAGTAAAAAAAGACTTGTGGTGCAAAGAACAGCAGTGAGTCGGCTGCATGTCAAGTCTGGTTGCATTGTGTGTTCAAAATGTTTGCACAAGTGGCACTTTCACATTGCACTGTATGAGAAATGTAATAGTCACATTATGTGGGAGAAAAGGGAAGTTGTGCAACATCAGCAACTTCTCTCAAGGACTCAGAGTTGAATTACGGTCACAATGGTGAAAAAAAGTACAAAGCACTTTTCTAGGGCAGCCTGTGGAGTGTGTAGTGCAGACAAGAGTGAATGTTTATCATTTATGATGGTGTTGGGTTACGTTATCTCGCAGCCACAGAGAGGACGCTGCCCAGCATGACAGCAGACGCTCTTGTACTGCAAACAGCAGCAGGATGAAAACACTGTGGCAGACACCTCATTTTAGTGTTGACAATGTTGGGTAGCAAAGTGCCAATAATACTTTGACATAATAATACTAATACTAGCTGCTAACTACTAAAAAATAGCTGACTAAAGCTATTTCAGTAAAAAAGGATCTACTTCAAGTGGTGAGAAAAAGACTGAGCCTTAAAATGCCAAATAATGTGTATTGATCAATATCTGATTTACTAAAAATACACCCGGATGTGCCGACGTTACAGTGCTTAACAGCTTGTGACTTCCTCTCACCTCACTCCTCCTTTTAGCACAATGCTAACACTTCAACTGGCCATGTCCCAAATTGATTACAGTGTTGAGATGTTTTATTAAAATAACTAACTCAGCTTAAAACAACACCCGGCACCCTCAGAAGACAGGAACAATTTTTCATGTGTAAACAGGGGTATTGTTGTGATCAGTGTTGTAGAGTTACTAGTTTCATGTAATTAAATTACAAAATAAATGTAATTGTAACCAGTTAGTTGCTGGGAAATATATGTGATTACAGTTACTAGTGATGGGATTTCTCTTTCACTTGTGAGAGCTGGTTCTTTGGCTCGTTCGTTCATTTTTTTTTTTTTTTTTGCTCTGTGTGTGTGGGAGTCTGCATGTCTTCTCTGTGTCAGCGAGGGTTTTCTCCAGGTACTCCGGCTTCCTCCCACAATCCAATGACGAATGGCATTGCTGATTTATTGCATCGCAGGATCTGGATATTGTAGTGATGTGACGTTTGCGAACGAGCTAAGTCTTTGAACTGGCTCTTTGAAGTGAACAAGTGAGTGGCTGCACTGTCTTTCTCCCTCACAAACGACTCCCTCTCAACTTCCGGATCAAATAATCTGAAATTAATAGATACAGAGTAAATTAAAGCAAAAAACAAAGAAATTGAAACTGGCTCGTTCACTCTAAAGAGCCGGTTCAAAGACTCGGCTTGTTCGCCGACGGCACATCACTAACAGTTACTATTCAAAATATTGCTGATTACAAAAGGCGCTACATCTGAATATATTCTATTCACTAAAAAGTGTATATGTAGACTATAACATTCATTCTGTTGCTTTGCATCTTTATGCCGTGCAGGAATGCCTTCTTTTAGCATGGGCTTTTTCCAGATAATTTTTTAGCCCTCTTACCCAGTTTATTTGTAATGCTCAATGTCAGACCTGAGGAGACATCCGCAGGTGCGTTAATGTAACCTCAATCACTCACATTAGAAAAGTAATCAAATGTAATAAGTAACGTTCCTTAAGTAATTCAAATACTTAAATTATTTATCATATTTTTTACAGGGTGAAGAGTAATCTGTAACCTTTCTAACACTGTTTTTTATTTGGAACTTGTTGGTCATTTAGTGCGTGAAAGCATTCACTGCTGGGAAAATAGTTTGTAAAACAATAATTCTGCAAAACAAGCACACATTCATATATAGACAATAATTTTCGTAATGTATAAGATGAGCATTTTTATTATGATTGTAGACATTATGAACCAGCTTCAATATTTCCCCCATGTTGCACAGCTTTGAAGCTTAAAAATCACTATGTACAGTGTTTGATCATAAGAAAAGGCACGGGACATTTGGATTATTTTAAGACCATTTATCAGTGATTGTAAGGCAAGCAAATACTGCTACATTTGTAGAAAAAAAGGATAAAAAAATATACAAAAATACTTTACTGTTTTACAATACTCAGTCTTCTAACTGATGGGGTCAGAGACGATCACAAGTGAAGTGTTTTGATGCTGTGACTTTTTCCTTATCTGCCGCTCAATCATCAAGTCAAACTCCTGTCTTTCCCTGAAATGAAAAATAAATGCAGAAAAAAAATCCACGGTCACTGATCGCACTTAGTATTTGCTGTAGCATTGTCTTAACTCACCGAGCTCTTACCTGTGACTTATACATCGACCTTTAAGGTACTTTTCCTCTGCCTTTTTTACCGAGACGTTGTCCACCCCAGCTATGGCGTAGATTATGGCCTGCACAGGAGGATAATAATCTTACAACACCTCTACAACATGAACTGTAACATGCATATCAGAAAACACTTTGCTTTTATCAGGGAAAAAAAAAACAACAACACAAAAACAAGCATTGACTAAAGCTTTAGCTCACCTCAGGGAGAAGCACATCCAGGACAAAGGGGACACGCTCTATAGATTTCATCTCAGCCAGGCAGGGGGCAGTGGTCACAGCTGTTGCATAGAGCTCACTCAGGTACCAGTAGACCTGGTCCAACTGCTGGTCATCTTCCAGGTATATGTTCACCACCCGCCTCCGTCGGGAACTCAGGAAGGAGCAAAGCCATCTGGACTGCTGCTGCCCACGGATCACAGCCTGTAGGGAGAGAGACAGGAAGGATGGGATTATTTATCCAGTGACAGTAGGGTTGCTACAATATGAGATTTTCATGGTTCAACAGTCGTCTAACAATATAACATGATTTCACAGCATACATTATTGAACAATTATCATCACTATCAGTTGCAATGTAGGCTTTTTGGGGGTTGTACAAATGCTTTAATTGAAAACTGAAACCATTTTTTAAAAGGAGTATGTGGAAAAAGTCTCCCTTTTCTCAGTTTAGTAGCACTTTTTTCCAAATACTTTGGATATGCAAATGTACATAGTGTGATTGCCATTAATTTTCATACCATGGTATACCTTGAAACCAGCATACAGCTGCAAATCTAAGTGACAGGTGCTCATCTTGCAAGCTTTATTTAAGTGCTTAATACAATGACTATCACAACGATTAAGCACATTTACTCTCAGATGTCTTACTACTGCTGCAGAGCTTCTACCCTCAGGCCACAATAATCCTGAATGAAGACCCTGCCTAAGACCCTACACGCCCCTCCAAATACAAAATATTTATTGTTACACTGCTTTAACTACACAGTTGATAGAGCTGACAGATTACATTTCATTGCAATTATATCCATATGATTTCATGTGACAGATAAATAAACTGATTGATGCCAAAACCTCACAATGGATGTTTCTCTTGCACTCTGAAAGACTGGCCTTGTTATGTTACAGTCATCAGCCAAACTGCCAAAATATAATTTGAGCAGGCAAATTTCATGTCCAACTGACCTTTCACTAAGCCCCGCCCCTTTGTGATGATCTGACAAGCTGTCGGAGTAAGCATGGAGCCCACACTGTCACTAACTGCACTGCCTGAAGAAATATTATCATATTTGTGGAAAAATGAAAGAGTGATTCCAGAGAGAAGCAGACAGAGGGGTCTACAGTCTGTGTTTGAAGGATATATCCAGGATGTCAAACTGACTCAGCAGCAACAACAGGTTAAAAAGACAAAGATAGTTAGAAGCTAAAGCCGAACTATTAAAACTTTACAATCAAACAATGCAACAATGCAAGAAGCTCCAGTGAACGTACCAGAAGGCGTCCTTCCACCATGCGCTGCTTTACTATGAAATGTACGAGCTTCTCATTGGCACGGTTGTGGGCGGCATGACTCCGGTCTGGCAGCAACCTCTTCGAACTTCTGCTGACCTCCTCATGCTGTTCACTAAAGCTGTCCTCCTTATGATCATCACACGGCGCCTCCATCATCAAATCAGTGGTGATGGTGAGTCTCTCTGAAGCTGCCTGTGGGTACGTCCTCCTTACTGGATAGCCTGAAGTAGTTAGAGACAGACGGTAAAGAGCATTGTCAAAACCACGTATGGCTCAGGTGTACTCAGATCGTCATTCCACAGTGGCCTGATATGCAGTGGTGCCATATACGATGACAGGAAGAAACTTACTCATGTCATGAGCAAAGTACTCGAGGAAGGAGCCAGAAAATGAGCCACATGCTGCAGAGACAAAACATGATTAGTAGGCCTAATGCCATTAGTGTCACAACAATACTGTTAAAATATAATGCATGCATCACTGTCCTTCATCAGTGTCTGTATGAACAGGAATAAATGGAGAATACTTACCGATCCGTATTCTGTAGTCTGATATGAGCTCCAACGACCACACAATGGCACTATCGTACTCTTCTTTGGCTTTTAACTATGAGACAAAATCATTATGAGAGACATAAAATACTCCTCCACTGTGTCAGGACAACATTATTTTTTTATTTTAGAAAATTGAGTGCATAGTTCATAAGCAGTTCCTACCACCAGCTGATCAGCTTCTTCACAGTCAAATGGCTTCAGGGTTTTCAGAGGCACAGTGAACCTTCCAGAACACAAGCATATGACTATAAACCAAACTCTATTTAAATACGTCCATTTGTGAGGCCCAGTTTAATGATATCTGACAATACAGGTTATTTTACAACCAAATCTATTTGCATAGGATGGCTGCATGGCTTTCATTCATGTTAAGATCCCCATTAGCCGGGTGTTCTATATGACCTAGGGATCCTCACACCCGATAAGCGTGCATAAACATTAACCAACAAACCAGTGAGAAAAAATGCATTTTATTTCCTACCCTTTCTTTTTGTGAATCATTGGGTCATCAATGAGCATGATGCTGGCTTTTTTCTGTTTACGATGCACACTTTTTACCTGCAGAGAAAAACAATGCAGATTTGAAACCCTGACGGCTTCCAGCGTTTGCTATTTTGTCTTGTATCTGTCTTGATTACAGGCCTTACTTTACGTCACCAGTATTTCAACCAATGATAGACTTTAACTTAATTTCCCCAGTAAACATCATCCACCTGTCATCTGAAGTTCATGCGAGAGTTTGGAATTGCTATTCTGAATATCAGGCAAAAATCTAGTGTATCGTTCAATTTAAAAACCTTAAAAAATATGTGCTCATGAGAAATAAATCCTCCACACAGCCTTTAACACTTACCAATGCAGGCCAGAATGGATAATGTCTAAATTTGTGCCAGACAAACACTCCCTCTGTGATGGACGGGGGCTCTGAAAGACAAACACAATCAGCTCTCAGTATACATGTGCACACAATCCAGTCCATAACTAGCCCTTGTAGAGTTTGTTTGCATTCAGTCACTGCAGTCGCTCTCACTTTTGTCTGACTGCATCAAGAAACTTGGTAGCTCCTCGTCCTCCTCCTCCTCCTCATCACTTCCCTCATCTTCTGGGAAGTCCAAAGATGGCAGCTGTTCCTCAGGGCAGCTCAGCTCAATCGATAGATCTGAAGACAGCAAAGACTCGTCTTTTGGGGGTGGGGTGGGGTGGACAGCAATACCACAGAGTTAGAGTAAACAATCTTGCTCACCTGAATTCTTAAAAAAGCATGCTGCTCTACAAGCGTAACTAGCTGCCCCGACTCACTCCACACAGAGTACAACACATTTGAAATGGATCCTGCGAAAATTGTGGTTGTGCACAATTTATCATGCTTTGGATTGTGAGGGTAATGACCTCCTAAAACACACAATGTCTCAGATGTCTTAAAAGTATTATGGAGACTCTACATGAGACAGATACAAAGGAGACACTACCTTGCTCTGCTGTGTCAGCTGTCTTCAGTTCAAATCTTGGTCGAGAGCGTTCAGATGACTGAGTAGTGCTATCCTTCTGTAAATTCCCCTTCTCCACTTTCCGCGTCCTGCCTCTCCGTGGCTTGGCTGGAGGACCGTTGGTTTTACTGCAGGTCTGTGTTTGCTCCTTTGTCACCCTTTTTCTAACCTGTCTAGGCTGGGAGGTGTGTATACTCCTACTTCTGCTTTGTGATTTTGATTTGCAGCGTGGCAAGTCTACCTCTGATGTCTAAAACAGAACAGACATCAAAAGGAGTTTTAGAATATGACTGATATTTACTGAGCAGGAAGAAAAAACTGTGGGCTCACAATGCATAAACAGTATCAGTGAAAATACAATCAATCACCTTTAACTGTGTGATGACTTCGGTGTACTCTAGCTCCGCTTGATTTGCTCCATGAGGAGACTCAGAGATGTTGGACAGGATGTCAGTGGAGGAGCTGTGCACTGGTGTGGAGGTCAGGAGGGCTTCTTGTGTCCGTCTCTTTCGTCCCCTGCCCCTTTTTGGAGTGCTTGATGAGGAACTCACAGTGGACTGGCTGATGATGGCAACATGATTGCCTGGCACAGCATTTGATTCCTCTGTGCCCTTCTCCACTTTCCGCGTCCTGCCTCTCCATCGCTTGGCTGGAGGACCATTGGTTTTACTGCAGGTCCGTGTTTGCTCCTTTGTCACCCCTTTTCTAACCTGTCTAGGCTGGGAGGCGTGTGTACTCCTACTTCTGCTTTGTGATTTTGATTTGCAGCGTGGCGAGTCTACCTCTGAAGTCTAAAACAGAACAGACATCAAAAGGAGTTTTAGAATACTGAGCAGGAAGAAAAAACTGTGGGCTCAAAATACATAAACAGTATCAGTGAAAATACGATCAATCACCTTTAACTGTGTGATGACTTCGGTGTACTCTAGCTCTGCTTGATTTGCTCCATGAGGAGACTCAGAGATGTTGGACAGGATGTCAGTGGAGGAGCTGTGTACTGGTGTGGAGGTCAGGAGGGCTTCTTGTGTCCGTCTCTTTCGTCCCCTGCCCCTTTTTGGAGTGTTTGGTGAGGAACTCACAGTGGACTGGCTGACGATGGCAACATGATTGCCTGGCACAGCATTTGATTCCTCTGTGTCCTTCTCCACTTTCCGCGTCCTGCCTCTCCGTGGCTTGGCTGGAGGACCGTTGGTTTTACTGCAGGTCCGTGTTTGCTCCTTTGTCACCCCTTTTCTAACCTGTCTTGGCTGGGAGGTGTGTGTACTCCTACTTCTGCTTTGTGATTTTGATTTGCAGCGTGGCGAGTCTACCTCTGATGTCTAAAACAGAACAGACATCAAAAGGAGTTTAAGGATATGACTGATATTTACTGAGTTAGGAGGAAAAACTGTGGGCTCACAATGCATAAACAGTATCAGTGAAAATACAATCAATCACCTTTAACTGTGTGATGACTTAGGTGTACTCTAGCTCCGCTTGATTTGCTCCATGAGGAGACTCAGAGATGTTGGACAGGATGTCAGTGGAGGAGCTGTGCACTGGTGTGGAGGTCAGGAGGGCTTCTTGTGTCCGTCTCTTTCGTCCCCTGCCCCTTTTTGGAGTACTTGGTAAGGAACTCGCAGTGGACTGGCTGACAATGGCAACATGATTGCCTGGCACAGCATTTGATTCCTCTGTGCCTTGAAATGAGATGGCGTCTGCCTGTGTTGTTGTTTTCTTTGTTAGTGTCTTTTTAGGTTCCCCTTTCCTTGTTCCTCGAGATCCACCTGAAACATTCACAGATATAGCTGACTCTGAAAAGCTTCTGCAGCACTTACGCCCAGTTCAGACCAAAGATTCGCAACAAGACAAAACTGTTTTAGAAGTTGCACTGGCCAGTCTGAGCTCGACTCAAGCCGGCTGATGGTGTCACCTGCAACTCAGCTGGTCAAATTGCCAGCAGCTGATTTTGGGAACACAAAGCATGTCACCTGTTTATACAATCAGCTTGTATTGAAGTCTGCTGGTCATGTCAAAATGACCGTAGATGGCGTGTTTGCTTGCTGCGGCAGGTGCTCTATCCCCGCCGAGCCCTTTGTTTCCGTCCTCACGGTGTGCTAGTGTTGTATGGTGGGCTGCTACTGCCGCCCCCATGCACACATTCTGTTTATTTATATTATATTATTGTGGCGTATTTATTATGAACACAGTCCATCTGATGCTCATTTTGTTTGTTTTTTTGCTCTGTCATCACTAGAGATGCACCGATCCAGCTTTTTCAGTTTCGATACTGATCCCGATGCTGGGGCTTTGAGTATCAGCCAATACCAGATACTGATCTGATACCATGGTTGACCTAAAAAGCTATATACCTTTACATGTAGAACAGAAAACAGTAGTGATGTAGCTCGTGTTGCAATAGATTTAAAGGGAAAGGATCGCCTCAGGTGTAGGTTGCATTTTCTGATACTCGATCCATCTATTTTGATGATATCGGGCTGATATTCGATCCAGATATCGGATCGGCGCATCCCTAGTCATCAATACTACAAATGTTACTGTAGCCAGTATGTCACTATCACTATCCTCATTCATGTTTGTAGAAGCTACGAATTATATTCAGCTGCAAAATAAGCCTGAAAATCTGGAAATCAGAACAGAAGTACAGAGAGTTGTTGCATAGAGATGATACACTGTCTCAACTAGTTGCATTGGTGTGCAGGTTTTTAAAACATTGCAGAAAGGTGTATTGAAAGTTGTTGCAAGTTTCCAATGAATCTTTGGTCTGAACTGGACTTTACAGAACTCAGAAGATCACATGTTGGGTTACCTTTCATTGTTGCATGAATTAGTGTAGCCTTTCCCTTGGGGTCATTGGATCAGAAGTCTACTGAAGTGTCGATGTGGGATAGTTATCAGGGCCGATTTCCTTCACCTGGGGGGCGCCAGGGCTGACAGCTTTGTGACAGAGGAGACACAGAGAGGAGAGGATGAGGGAATGTTGTTGAATCAACCTGCAACATTTGGGCGCTACTTCCGCTTTGGGCCATGTTGGCAATGGGATGAATGCCATCCTTACTCTGCTTCTGTAAGCCTGACTCTGCCATGTGAGTTTGTTAAAATAGGAACGCCTGTGGCTATGGAAACGGGATCAAAACGTTTTGCAAATTGAGGTGACAAGCTAGCTGACGTTAGTTAACTATCTCAGTAACGTTACCGTTATGTTGTTAGGGAGTTAAATAAACAACTGTCTATATGTCAAAGATATGGCACTACAGTTACACCAGCAGCCCCTCCCCCGCTAACGTTACATTCCTGGAAGCAACAGTTGGGTTTTATCCTCACACGACCTAACAGTTACGAATTTCACGATAAAAATAACGTCACATATGCGCAAACACTATGCTAAAACAACAAAAATATCAAAGTTAAACGTTTTAGAGATAGACGACTTCACGCGATAGTTGGAAATGTGACTGGTTGCTAACACAAACTCTCGGAAACATCATCTCGGTTGTTTATGTAGCTAGCATGCTAAGTAAGTAAACAAACACATCCACAAAAACCCCAAGTAATGCACGCAGCGACAGTTGTTTATTGTTGACGCATATTACGTGACATAAACAGAAACAGCCTGTCAGGTCTGCACGGTGATTTAGTAGTTACAGCTACGTGCCAGTAACTCAGCGTAAGCTAAGTTTTAGCTACAGGAAGCTAACTCTCGCCACAATCCAGCATTTAATGCGATAGCTGCAACATGCACGCGTCCGACCTGATCTTAACTTGCAAACGTGATTGACAAGTTTTCCCCAGGCAAAACGAAAATAGCAGCTCACCTTAAAAACGTTGATTTCTGTTTAGATAGTTAGCTCCCAGCTTCAGTAAAAACTGTAGGCATAGTTAGTGGTGCATGCACACATTAATTCACTGCTGCTCGCGAACTGAAAGGATAATCCCAAACTACGATAACGATCAAACATCAACCGTAGTGAGAGCAACATGTCGCACACCCAATTCCTCTGGACAAGTCTATACAACAAATCTCACCACTAGTTTGTTGTGGTGATCACGGATCGTACACCAGCCTTAAAGACAAGTAGCGCCACCTACCGTCCCGGAGTGCGCAGATTAAAAAAAAACTGAATATCCTTCTTTTGTTTGGTTTGCATTTTTAATTTATACTAACTATTTGGGACCAGTAGGACCTGGTAAGTACAAAAACTAAACGTTGTCAGTGATGTCTCAAGGCAACTGAATCGAACGCAACTGGACTTGGTTTTGTCTTAGAAGACGTTTCACCTCTTATCCAAGAGGCTTCATCAGTTCATGCTTGTCTGACTAGGCTGGAACTAGTCTGACAAACTGGTGTGGAAGCACCCAGGTATTTAGCCTTTGGGGAGGTCTTCACAAGGCCAATGATGTCACTGGTTCGTTAGTGCTCCAATGGTGTGTCAACGACAGTCGTTGAAACTCCTGCTGCAATGGTTGTCACTGGAGTCGTCAGAGTCACATGAGGCCATTTGTGAACGACCATTGTTTTTAGAGGTTAAGTTGTTAAACCTCCTGGGCAAGGATGAAAGGACAGCATTATAGGTGGGGGATAGGTGGTGTCGCAGACCTCCTCCTCTATTGAGAGATGGCTTTTCCAATTTCACATAGATGGCTTCTTTTACACCTCTTTCAAACCATCTGTCTTCCCTGTCCAAAATGTGCACATTGCTGTCTTCGAAGGAGTGTACTTTCTCCTTGAGGTGTAGATAGACAGCTGAGTCTTGCCCTGACGAGTTAGCCCTTCTGTGTTGGGCCATGCATTTGTTTAGTGGTTGTTTTGTTTCACCAATGTACAAGTCTGGGCATTCCTCACTGCATTGGACAGTGTACACTAGGTTGCTCTTCTGAGTGTGTGGTGTACGGTCTTTTGGGTGTACCAGTCTTTGTCTGAGTGTGTTACTGGGTTTGAAATACACAGGGATGTGGTGTTTGCTGAAAATCCTCCTGAGTTTTTCAGATACCCCAGACACATAGGGGATGACAATGTTATTGCGCTTGTTCTTTTCTTCCTCACCCACCTTGTTCTTTCTGGAACAGGCTGCTGATTTCACAAAGGTCCAACTGGGGTAACCACAAGTTTTTAGAGCCTCCCTCAGATGTTCATGCTCTTTCCCTTGGGCCTGAGTGCTGGTAGGTACGTTATCAGCTCTGTGTTGTAGGGTCCTGATAACACCTAGTTTGTGTTCCAGTGGGTGGTGAGAATCGAACAGTAAGTATTGGTCTGTGTGAGTGGGTTTCCTGTATACCCCAGTGTGGAGGCCTCTGTCCTCTGTAATGTGCACGTCACAATCCAAGAAGGGCAAACTATTCTCCTTAACATCTTCTCTTGTGAACTTGATGTTTCTGTCCACTGAATTGATGTGTTCAGTGAAAGCTTGTACCTCTTGAGTTTTGATTTTAACCCATGTGTCATCCACATATCTGAACCATGTACAGGTTAGCCACAATGGGAGATACCGGTGAGCCCATGGCACAGCCATGTTTCTGTCTGTAAAAATTGCCAATGTATTTGAAATAGGTAGTGCTCAGGCAGAGCTCCAGTAGTTGGCATATCTGGTCTGGGCTGAGCTTGGTTCTGTCATGGAGGGTGTTGTCGTGTATCAACCGTTGCCTGACTATTTCCAAAGCCTCCATGGTTGGAATGCAAGTGAACAGGGAGGTCACATTATAGGATACCATGGTATCATCTGGATCCATTTTTTAAACCTCTTACTTTGTTCACAAAGTCTATGGAGTTCTGCCTTGAGATAACTATGACCTGGATGAATGAGAATATCCACAGGCATGTTGTCAGTGATAATTAGAGACCAATGTCCTCAAACAGGACAACAGTAAAGTCCCAGTGTCCTCACACAAGATGATAATAAAGTCCCTAAGTCCTTCCTCATTAAGTGTCTTTGCTTGTTACTGTTACTAAAATTGGTCAAAATTGTTGCCATATCAAACTACAAATATTATTAATAACAAATAAACAAGTTTCAACCATAAAATGTGATCAGGTTTTTGACCTCGTCCACTTTTGTGTCGCGATTGGCTACAGACTGATTTGACTGAGATTGCTGCCATCTTGTTTTTACGTGGAATATTGTATCATACTCTTAGTCTAAAGTGTCCACGAACAAGGACAACAGGTCTAAGTTAAATAGAATTAAGTATAAGGTCAAGAAAACCCAAAATGTGATGTCCTCAAATTAGGACACAAGGTCTCAGGAGGATATTATGATAAGACATGAAAAAAAAATCCAGCTACTCAAATTCTGTTTAATTTTCCATTTTTGTTTGGTTCCCCAACATTTTTTTCTGGTTTAATTCTCTATTAGGCTATTGTCTATAATTATCTCCTTGGGATTTTATACAATACAATGTATAGTCCTATGTTTCACACCATACCATTTTCACAACATCTAACTAATAAAGATCCTTTTTCTTTTAAAGGGTGACCTCACCCATTTTCAGAATTCACACTTGCTTTATTTCTGTGGTCTTAGTTAGTTCAAAAATATTGGTAAAAATGAACAACTCTCCCAAATACAAAAACTAGAGTGCTAAAACTCAAATTTGTGATATCATAGGGTATAAAGTCTAGAGCTGCTCCATAGACAATGAAGTAGGAAAGGTGTTACAGATGACACTGAGAGCACCCAGGGGAATGTTCTGAGTATATTTTTGTGTCAGAGCTGAGAACACTATAATAGAATAAAGCTCATTTGGGTATAAAAAAAACATACATTCTGTGGGTTCACAAAATTAGGCTCCCATTCATTGTCTATAAAGCAGCTCCAGACGTTTTACCCTACAACGTCACAAGTTTGAGACATCCATCTCTGGTTTCTGGCTTTGAGAGAGATCAGCTCATCTTAAAAATATATCAAATATTGATTAAACTTTCCATGCCTTGGAAATAACATATTGGAATTCCTAATTTAGGCAGCTTTTCCCTTTAAATGAAATGTAGAGTAAAGGCTGCATGCCCAAGCCGCAGGCTGCTGTGTCCTACAGCAGACCCATAGGACTCTACACTGAATCACCTTCTTTTCTATGAGATCAACATCCTTCATTCAGGGCTGTTTACCTTGTTTGCCTTCAGTTCCTTCTGCCACTCTTACTAATAATTTTCTATTAGTCTTTGCCAGCTTTTTTGTGCTCATTTCAATCAACACCAAAAAGAGCAGACAACAAGCAAAACTGTCTCATGAACATCATGTATTTCCCTGTAGGGACCTTTTCTCTAACTGTTTGCATTGTTGATACATCCCTATGTACTGCAGCTGAAGCAGAGCACTGTTTTCAATGGTTTAATTGGCTCTACCATTTAAAGGCCTACATTTTTTGCGGTTTCAAATCTGACAGTGAGCCAGAATGCATAATACTCTGGAACCTGAAACTGAAGCAGCTGAATAGCCGAATGCTGAATTCAAGCACTGCTAATTTGATTGTGCTGAATGGTGCCTCTTTTTAGGCCTGGTCTGTGTGACAAAACATTTCCTGGTGCCATTTTTTATTTCACAGAGTTCTGTGAAGACAAAAATAGTGAAAAATGGCATTATTAACATAACATGTTTAAAGCAGTCCAGAATACTCTTTATTTCATCAGCTTCTGTGTGTCTCTATGACAACAGTAGAGGGCACTGTGTAACCACTCAAACTGCTCTCTGTCACAATACAGTGGTTCCTAAGAACACTTCAGTGAGTTAATGCATGTGTGTCTTCCCTTTAACAATTAATGCAGAAAAACTACTGCTCTTATATTGATTTTACACTCTTCCAAAGGCTTGGACTTGGTATGCCACATACACTTAATTCAGTGGAAGGACCTTTTGACCAAAACCCTGACTGACTGGAATGATTGCAGGTCACTTTTCTAAAGTGCATGTGGGTCAAGGAAAAAGAGGTTACTGCAGGAGCTCAAATGTGCACATACCAAATGTTCAAATATTAGAGTCATCATGACCGATCCAGTTGACTTGTCTGCCACCATCCATGTTCATGTCCCCAAGCTTTACACAACATCCATCTGTAACTTGCTAATTTTCTTCCTCTCCACCCCCAAAAGGCTTTTACCTTATCAATAGTCTACTTCATTAAAGCAGGAAGTGCACAGAGACATAACCAGGACTTAAGGAATTCTCAGGACATGAGTCCAAGTTAAGTCAAATTACATAGTTTTTACATCATTTTTTCAGCTGTTTGGGTCAATAATTCAGTTGACTGTTTGATTATATTTTCTGTAAATCTTACAGAAAAATCTCTAATTTTTTTTAAGTGGGGTTGTATGAGGTACTTATTCATAGCCAGTGTATTACCCACAGTAGATGGCAGATGGCACAGCCCCAGTTTGGAGAAGCAGGCAGGAGTACTGACACAGTGGCTTGGCAATGTACACTGTGGATGGGGGTTATCAGCAAAATGTATTTTAGCAACCTTAAAAAGGCCTACCTAAATAATCAGTATCAGTCTAAGTGGATGCTGTACTGAGAATATTTTCACTGCTTCCACTTGCCATCAGGTAGCAAATTGATAATGACAGCAATGATGAAATGCAGCTTACTGTGGAGACAAGAGGATACCTTCATGGACCAGAGTATACAGAGGCACTATTGCAGAGAGAGACTGAATGGGCCAAAAGAGAAATGCAAATAGGAATACAGAAATCCTATGGTTGAGAAAATATAGTGCCAAAGAAAAGGGCTGTCTGACGGCACTGTAATTTGGTGAACAAAATCCAACACATTCTCACTCCAACCTCGTCACATATAGATGTTTGGTCATGGACCTTCCAAGTCCAGATACTACACGTAAGGTACCGTGGGTGTGTTGGTCGTTGACGTTGTGGGATGCCATGTCAAGTTATGCCTGTTACATGCATTGTCTTCTTTCAAAATACACTTCCTTTTTTACAGGACGTTTAACGTTTAAATACAGTCTCTTTCAAAATAAATGCACAACGTCAGTACAATGTAAACTGACTTGTTTTTTCTCCAACTAACGCA